TGAATGTAAAATGTATCCATTAAGTGAAGATAATCGCTACTAAATATATCATTAACAAGTGGAAAGAAGGCCTCGTTGATGTCTCACGAGATACATAATGCCGTACACTATGCTCACATGACAGTTGAGGACACCCGCTACCTGTGAGACATCAACGAGGCCTTCTTTCCACTTGTTAATGATATATTTAGTAGCGATTATCTTCACTTAATGGATACATTTTACATTCAATCTTCAAATCAACAAAACGATGAAAATAACATAATAAACACAAAAGTAAATATATCATGTGAAAGCGTTACGGATGGGGATATCACACTATACTATCATGCAATCATCAAACAACACACACGAAGCTAAGAGAGCGCAAAAACGATTCGCAATCATTCTGTCGTTGGTTGTCTGATATTCTTTCACGTCCACTGCATGTCATATGTCCTTTATAAAAATTACCAAAAATCATAAGATCGTTAGCTACTAAATTTGGGATCAAATATGGTTGGAAAGAAGAACATTTAAAGTTTTAGTATTTTCAAAAACCGGGGTCAAATTGTTTTGTCGAGCATGAAAACTTTGTTTTTAGAAATATAGTCACATATTATACTTCCATAGTGAAAGGATGATTTATAATAAAGGCTCGAGGTAGTAAACGCACAGATGATCTAGAATAGGTAAACTAATATTCACAACAGAATGCAAGTTTTTAATAAAAGACTTCCCGTACCGCATCACTATCTAAAAATGACTGACAGCAACAGACTAAGTGAAACGATGACTGTTAAGCAAAACTTATTAAAATTTAAATAATAATCTAACTAAATAAGAATATTTTGTTTTCTGATTGCTAAACAAAAAACTTCAAACTAAAATGAATACATTCTTAACTCTCTCTTGTCTTCTTTCTCATCAAAACAATCTACAAGAATTAGTACTTTTTGTTTTAAAAATCTCACCACTTTTTTTCATGTATTTATTGTTCTACATTAATATCGATGTCGACAAGAAAAATAACGTATAGACATTTAAATATACATCAATAATTATTACACAAACAAAAGTGGAAAAACACAATGTTCTGGTTATATGTGCTTTCTTTCGAATGAAAGGACTAAGACAGTTCCAAATAAATTTTGTTTGTTCTTGTTTGTATGATACCCTTGTATAGTATTCTTTATATTTACAACATCATGTAAAGAGAAAAAAGGAATAAAAGTAGTATGAAAAAAAGGAAGTTAGCAAGCTGTTATAGAATATTCTGTGTCTAAATAATATCACTGTCATTTGAATCACATTCGTTCGATCGTTGTTCATTTTACATGGCATACTTTTGTGTCCACATTTTAGCTTGTTGATTATATGAATCTCGATCTGTTTTGTATGTTCCTATAGATGAATTCAAAATAAGTACGATAAACAAAAACAAAAAAATAGAAAAATTCTTACGTGCAATATCTGGAACAAGTGGATCATCTGGATTTGGATCATTCAATAACGAACATATTGATAATAGAACTTTTGAGATAGTAAGTGCTGCAAGTAAAAAAGTAAATGTAATATTTAGAAAAATTATTAAAGAAAACAGTAGAATACCGGGTGACCAATTTGAGCGTAATATATCCAAACAGATTGCACCATTTGAATTTATATTTGGATGATAAATTTTTGTTGTAAATGTTATTTTAGGTGGTTTAAACTAAAAATAAAATTAAAAAAAAATTTCACCTCGTACTCGCGTAAAAATTTTAAAATTTACCTACAGGATAATCCGTAGGAAAATGAATTGATAAAAAGAAAACACCGCCTTGAAATGGAGATTCACCTGAAAGAAAATAATATATATCAATTTGTCTTTTCAACTATTTATAATTAGAAGTTTACCTGGACCCATTATTGTTGCTTGCCAATGAAACATGTCATCTTTAACTGGTCCAGCTGAATAAAACAGAAAATATGAGAAATTACAACAGTACTCGAGTCTATTATACTGAACACACCACTACAATTAGTAGGAGGATCAACTTTTAAATCTTGCAATTCTTTGCTAATTCGTTTTAATGCCATATTAATCTATTATTAAACAATTAAAATTCAAGTATGAGATTCTTTAATCGAAATGATCAATCTAAAGTCAAATGAGACATAGCATCTAAAAACATATTTTCACAGAAACAAAAGGTTTCAGAATGTCCGTTCAATGTTTCAGTCAGAATGAAGGAATTCAAATTTTAGTATAGAGATAGAATGATCAAAATAACAATATTCGGCAGACACTTGTAGATGAAAAAAGTTAATAAGGTTGACAAATAGTTCAAAACTATATTTAAAATAAGATTTTTCTATCCTAATTGAAAGTACTGCACACGCTCAAAGAGCATGATGACATTAAATTGATTGAAGTAGTTAAATTTCATAACACTCAAAAACTTAGAAAAAACGAACGAAATGTTTAATTGATATTACCAAGTATTCATGTCTTACAGGAGTTATAAAACAAATTAAGTGGTAAACACAGACTTGTTATAAAATTGATTTACAGGTACTGTCATGCCGAATTTAAAAAGTTTTTGTTGTTTTTATCATCCTATCTCGGATAACTTTCTTTTTATTGACCTCACTCTACTATGGTGAGAAATGTTATTTCCCACACACACACAGACTATAATATTCGACTCCTATTTTCGGTCTTGTCTACGGGTGATAAATCAAATGTAACATAGCTCAGCTCTTATCAAATCATAATACTATTTACACATTAAATAATCCTTACCGAGGTCATACAAATAAATCTGTTTTCAAAAATGATCGAATCAATTCCAGTATTGAAAAAAATCTGAAAACAACAACAACAATAATAACAGTAGTATAATAAAAGTAATTTTCCGTAGTATTTTAATAAAGTCAACTAGGTACACAGGTAATTTTACAGAATTAAAAGAGACTGGTGCAAATCGAAAGAAAATTCTTTTAAATAAAAGAGTTGTTAGAACTGAAGCAAAAAAAAACAGAAAAAAAATCCTTTTATAACGAGATATCATATGTGAGAATGTCTTTTATTTATATGTTTGACCTGGAAGTGACAGAAGTCAATTTTCTACTCAAAAGCACTACGTAATTACTATGAAGATCAGTATGTAAATTTCGTTTGTTAAAAAGTTTCCTTTCAACAAGGGAAAATAAGACAAGCAAAATTATTAATCAGTAGTCTCAAACTTTTGTATCAGAAAAAAAACGTTACCTTTGAAACTTCTTTTCGTCTCTCAATCGCCTAGTACCTCTGATTTAAATTACGTAATTCTGAAAGAATAGTGCACCAACCTTTCTATGAGATGAGTGCCTACTCAATACGCTTTATGAAGAGTTTATAGCAAAAGTCAGAGCATACTTACTACAGAACTTTCAATTTACTCGATCCTTACTGTGTAATAGTATCTCTTTTAAAAATGCAAATCATTTACAATTGTAGACGAACTAGTTGAAATATGAAATCTCAATAAGAACGGTCCAGCTCTGAATGATGGCTAAACATGACAAGATGATTAGTAAGAAAATCAACTAAGAGGGTCTAACGATGAGTCATTCAGTAGTGATGTTTGTTTTTTCCGTTGGTAACATTGCCTGATGATGATGTGACAAAGTTTTCAAACCCCGCAACACAATGGTTGTCTACTAATCTTAATATTTTCGTTTTCGGTCAACTTTCCTTCATGGAATGCTACGAAGTCCGTGAAGGACTTCGTAGTAAAATAGTAGTTATTCTTAACTAATGAAAGACTACCACGATATATATACAATAGCGCATGTATCTCACCGACGCTCATCCGAGACTCTTCCGTCATATTAAAGACTGCTTCAAGACAACATACAAAGTTTCGCATCTTTTTCATGTTTTCTATTTTTGTCCATCTATCATCGTTCACGACCAACGCAACATCGCTTAAAAGAAAGAATATGTTAACGGCTGAATATTTGTAAAATAATATTACATGTGGATTTCAAAATCTAATATTATCAAAAGATAGAGTGCGTTTAACTCTTTCGGCTAACCTTCGTCTGTTCCTTCTCAGTAGCCACCAGTAATCAAAAACTAAAAATAGCGGATAACATTTACAGACTAACCAACTATAGCAATAAAATACCAGATCTATGTGTGGTAGTTGCTGTTTCTGAGCGATAGCGGCTGTTAATAGATATTAGTGGATTTCACAACATTTCCTCAATAACGAAAAAAAGAGCATACGTTTTGCTTTTTGTTACTGCTTATACTTCAATTTTTGCATAAAATTAAACATAGAATATAGACACAATTTGAATTTTGTTTCAGCTTTTTTTCAAATGAAAAAGGAAAACATTATGACACAATCATAGTCAAGAGACGAAAAAATTCAAGCAACAAACGCTCGCACAAACAGAAAAGTTTTAATAGTTTTTTTTCTAGAAAAAAAAGTGCACTGAAGAAGAAAAAAGACATCGGTCGATTTTATGACAAAAAAAAACACAACAAGAAAATCATGTCATTGTACAAGCTCACCTACACAGCACAGTCATCCATCTCTCAGAAGCCGTAACAAATTGAAGAAGAAAATCCTGTATTGTTGTTCACAATACATTTTGTTTTTTTATTCATTTGGTTCCCTCCAATCCACTAAACTTCATTTTTCTCTACAAGACCGTTCTTTTCCTTTCCATAAATCTTCTCGTTCAACATGTGCAACTCTTATTTTTTCTATTCATGGCCACCATATTTACTTACATACATACATAGTGTTTTTTGTTGAGAGTATAAAATAAATAGAAAAAAAAACCGTCCACCATCAACAAATGGTAAATAAAAAACAAACAATCAACAAGAGAAAAAATGTCTTACTTTTTTTTTCGGTTTCTTTGTTTATGCTGTCCAAGGAAGAAAAAAAGAGAAAAAAAAATTGTTATTGTTGATGATAGTGATGACAAACGATGAATGAAGAGAGGGACCAGAGACAAGATGACGAAAAAAAATGCAAGAGAAGCGAGTTAAAAATGTGTTTCGCACAATGTTCACAAGTATCGTTTCTTTATTGATTAATTATTGTATTGTTTTTGTTTAATGTTCTTTTTTTTACATTGCATATTTATTCGTCCACGTTCTTGCTGTTTGATTATATTTTTCTCTATCGGTTTTATACAAACCTAGAATAGAAAAGACAATATGCCATGAAGATGTTATTTATATATATATATATATATGAATAGATATCTGATAAAGACAAAACTTACGTGCAATATCTGGAACAAGTGGATCATCTGGATTTGGATCGGTCAATAACGAACATATTGACAATAGTACTTTTGAGATAGTAAGTGCTATGATCGGAAAAAAAATTCTAGTCTATAAGACAGACAAAGAAGCAAAAGAGGTTACCTGGTGACCATTGGGATCGTAATATATCCAAACAGATTGCACCATTTGAATTTATATTTGGATGATAAATTTTTGTTGTAAATGTTATTTTAGGTGGTTTAAACTAAACGAAAATAAAAATATTTACACTTTATAAATTTTTTTATCTTAAAATTCTTTATTTTCTTACCGGATAGTCAGCTGGGAAGTGTATTGATAAAAAGAAAACACCGCCTTGAAATGGAGATTCACCTAGAGAGGAAAAGAATAAAATATTACTTATTCCGATTATTGTCTCTAACGTCATCGAAAAGAATAAAAACATGCGATTAGTTACTATCTTTCTGAGACTAAGACAATCGTACCTGGTCCCATTATTGTTGCTTGCCAATGAAACATATCATCATTAACTGGTCCAGCTATAAAACAAACGATTTATAATTAACATCGATAAAACGTTTAATATTTTTACTGATTTAAAAATATTTAAAATCTTTTTTACCTGAGCAATTTGCTGGTGGATCTTTTTCAAGTTCTTGTAATTCTTTATTGATACGTTTTAAAGCCATTTTTATTTAGTAGTGCGTGGTTTTTATAAGAGTACAATGCAACCGACAACAGGAGATCAGTAGACAATACAATAACTCTCTTGATATACGACTTCAGAGATCGTACCGGATGTAAACTATTTGAAAAGATCGATTCGGAACACTGATCTAGAAGAATGAATAATTTTTTACATAGGTCAGGTGACAAATGTCAACGGGGTCATCTCATCAACTTATACTTACGCTATGATTTGTTGAACTGTCAAAAGTAAAAACTATTAAGTAGAAGTACACATCACATATACAAGTTAAAATGAAGCTTTCTATCCAAGTTACATTTGCCCAAAGTACAAAAAAAATCTACACATATACTTCAATAAAGTCAGATTAGAAGTTCTATTCGTATAGTACACCTTTCTGTTGGTTATTATTTTTGCTTTTTCTTTGTAAATTTTTCTTTTTTCGTCAAAAAAAGACCCTTCTCGAAATTTTCAACAACAAACAACAACTACTCTATCAGATCTACGTTTGGAGAAAAAAAACATAGTGCACGTGAAAATGTATAAATATATATATATATCGACTGTCTACGATTTTTTTTTCTCTTCTTTGTTTTCCTCTTTTAAAATACGTATTATTGTTGTGTATGTGTGTATTATGTGCGTTGTCTACACAGACTATAGCGAGCGTATGAGAAATACTAAGAAAGGAAGACAAAAATATTGAACCAATAAATAAAAAGAATAAAAAATACCCGTTTAAACATATGTTTACTTGAAAGAATATGAAAAAGGAAAAAACTTACGTCATTATTTGATAATAATTTTTTTGCTTTTTCCTTTTTTTTTTAATATTTCTTTATTTACAAATTGGTAAGGGAAAGACGTTTCTAGACAAAGATAAAAAACAATAAGCAGATCAACTTATTTATGCTTATATAAAATAAATCATATGAACTTGAACGAGTATTAAATCATTACAAAAAACTAAAATGTGTTGTAAACTTTGAATAGTTTTATTACGCAAATAATCTGAGCGATATTCGGTAAAAGAGCATGCGTCAAAACTATTGCTGAAATTTTAAAAAGAAACAAAGCAAATAATTTTGAAAAGCCTATACGAAAGCAACGAAAAGAGATATTTGCACTCTGCGAGACGAAAAAGTTTATGGCTTGATAATCAATCAAAATTGAAAGATATAGATACATACTTCTAAACATAAGTGAACACATTTCAACCTGTTAACTTGAGAATAGTGGGGCCATAGTGTTCTTAGAAATTTCATTTTCAACAATTCGTACGAGAAAATAATACTTTAATTGATTTGAAAACTTTAATTGATGTTAATGATAAAATACTACTTTCCAACATATTGTTTTACCGTTTTTCTTCAATAGCTGATGAAACAGCATATAACTCACTTTTTTTACTGAAATCCTTGCTACGTCACCAGTAGAAACAAATCTTCTTATATCTTGGAGACGAACCACTTAGTCTATAACTCATTCAAGGCGTAAATAACAATTAAATAAAATAGTCATTCACTGTTCTTATTATGCAATAAGCATAATCTTCATGAACTTCTGCAGTAAAATGTACTCAAGGTAACAGATCAATTACAGTTGTAAAAATACTTTTCGTCAAAAGGGAAATGAATAATTTCACAACTAAATATTACACGTATGCCAAGTTATGGCTATAATCAGATGTAGTGCGAGTCATGCTTTTTTTTTTTCTCTTTATTTCAAGCACTTGACCAATACGGAAATGTGTTTTACAGACATTGTAGTCATAGGGTCTATTCAGCGTCAATTCTCAGTTTTGAGCAGCATAAGCATAGCGATTGAAATAATTGTTTTAATCTACAATCACATGATTTTTCTCAGAATAAATTGTTCGAAATGTATAAAACTAACTTGTCACTACACTCCGTTAAAATTTACAGTATGCGATGGCTGCTCCTTTTCTTATTGGACAAAAAATGTCTAACAGAATTTTGTGGTGTAAGTAAGATCACTACGTAAACCAACATCAATGTTGTAAGAAGTTACCTGCCAATAACAGGTAACTTCAGCAGTTGCTGAAAGCTAGCTGCCAGATGAAAAAATGTGCAGAGGTCAAATATGGCCGATCAAATAATGAAAATTTCTCAACTTTGGGTGCTTGTTTCTAGTAATAAACCACTTCGTAACTCAAGTGTCAAGCAAGTCTCTTAGTAAAAATAGATTTTGTGAGGAAATAAGAAGAAAAAAGTTGAAAAAGGATTAGGCCAGGCGTATATAGGCGGCATCTCGTCGAAGAAACTTAATCTTCTGTTGATGGTTATTCTCCGCAAACGGTGCATTCTTCTTTTTTTATTCAACTATTGCTGACTGGAGTAATCTTCCAGAGTCAGTTATTTGTCTTTCTTCCTTAACGTCTTTCAAAACAGCTTTATGTCAGTACCTATTCCAGTGAAACATTTGTCAGTTAAGAATTTATATTTGTTCTTTTTTGCTTCTTTTTTATTTTTTTTCAAAAATTTGTTCTTTTTTTTACTACTTCTGGTTCTAACCTAGTTGTCTTATTTATGTTGCTCTTTTTTATTACTCTTTTTGTGTTGTTTGGCTGGAGTCATTTATTACAGGTCAGTGACCTTTGATGACTCTCTCACTTTTCGTGAATAAAAGTCTTAGAAACTGATTGATCAATTTACTCAGTACGAATCATTTTCTTTGGTTTCATTTGAAAATCAGTGGCCATTTTTGGCAGGTAACTTCTTTCAACGCCAAGATCAATTCAGTATCCTTTTTAATGGTATGAGTAGTTCTTAAGAAAGGACCTGAAGACTCCCTTGGAAAACTCCTGTGTTCTTTTTTTCAAAGATTGAAAATCTCATGGTCGAATCTTTTCAGCTCGAAACACTGCGGCTCAACGTATTTCCTTTTTTTACTCTTCAAATAAATTTTAATACATATCATCATGGTTATTTCTAGCTAGAGCTTAGCAGTTAGCTTTCTACGTTCGCGATCGTTTACTAGTTGAAAACCTTCAAAAAATGTTTCTTAAATAATCAGCAAGATAGCCGGTCAGATTATTGTAAAAATATAATCTAGCATATCTCGCAAGTTTCAAAAACGATGCACGATTAGCCGTCGGCGAAGAATCATAGACGAATCAGTGAATATCAAATAATTTTTTTTATTTTTTTAATATAGAAACTATAGGAATGCTCCCCCCACTCATGGGTGGGTCTGATATTTACGTATTTTTAAGAGAAAAAAAGAATGAATTGTACTAGTTAAAACAAATTAAGTCTTTTTTTGTTTTTAACGCTAGTAGACTAACGAAAACTTAAAAGAAAGGTTTTCTAGTAAAAAGCAGCCAATGATCAAAGCGTCAAAAGCTTTTAAGCAAAATTTATTTTAAGTAAACTATTGTTTTGTACATAGTTCGATACAGTCGTTCAAAATATGGTTCGTTTTCTCATGAATTCTGAGCTTAAAGTGGGAATGTATGTGGAAAATTTTGTTACGAAATAAATTTCCAGTTTGGACCTAGAGTGTGCCTGAATGAGTCTGGTTCTGATACATCAACAGAAAAACGCTTCTTCTGATTTAACACTAGAATCCTTCTCCAAGACGCACTTATACAGCATCACTTTGCTTTATTCAGAAAAAAATTTGTTCATCTGTCATTAATCAATCTGTGATCTTTCTACGATGATTAACATTGGATCATTTTTAAAACTTGTTATGCTAGATTTACTCCACTCTTTTCGAAAAGGCCTTATACAACACAATTTCTTGAAACCGTCATTGATATTATTCCATGGTGATAACGTACAGTCTCTTCTTGAACTTCAATTCAATAATGGTTAATTATAGCATACTACGTATGTGTTTCTGTAAAACAGAATTTTAAAGATGCAGAAAAAACTATACTAAATTCAAGTTAGAGTATGCTAGGACTAAAAGTTATGTCTGATCTCAATGGGTTGAAGAAATAAGTTGAGTGTAAGGCTGTATAAACCAACCCTAAAGGTTGCTGATTGAATAGTCTTGCGCTTAACTTTACTGTCTAACCTATCTCGATCAGCCCAGTGGTAGCTTATCGCTTAATTCTTATTGACTTTATTTGTTTCGTTCTGTATAATTTATCAAATAAGATTAAGAAATAAACAAAACATCGAGTACAAAATTTTTAGAATTCAATCCTACCGTATCCTGTCCTAAAATCCATTACTATTTATATACACACAAAATTATGTGTTTTTTGTAAACCTATTTATAGGCGATACCTTTTATTTTATTTCGAAAATTTATATCGTTTCATGAAAAAAACAGCCATGTTCAAGATTTGCATCATGAACTCTATTGCATATACTTCGAAAAACATCAAAAAGATGTTTGCCTCGAAGGAAAAAAATTAATTTTATTTACTGAAAGTTGTATTATATGATTGAATTTAAAATAAATATATTATAAAATACTGAAATAGATGTCGCTTATATTTATAGTCTTTTCGCATTGATCATAAACAAAAATTTTTTTCAATCGTCGTCTTATTAGTCAGTAAATTCACCATTTCTCCTCCTATTTCCAATTCATTGCAGGTTCCAATTCATTGGATCAACAATTTATCGAAACATTCTCTTGAATTCAAAAATCGATTTGTAAAATTGTACTATGTAGTTCATGGATCCGAATGCTAAACAGTTCCGTTAGACTATGCGTTCACTTGAATGCTCAATGGATCTTTGGTTTTTGCTTTAGACTTGCATAAAAATCGTATAATAGCAGCGCAGTGTACTGATAAATATGTTCGTATTTTATTGGTCTTATTGGAGTTAAACAATATCTCTTATATAGTAAAAACATAAGCAAACAGTGATTTAGAGAAAAATGGAGCGTCTCATATCAATATCCAGACCGATAGCCAACGCTCTTTGTTCTCAATGTAGTAAAAATAGTCATAATTTTATTATTCAACGAACTGTTCACAAAGCAGCACGTGAACCATTTATGAGCGCTTCATCATCGAACTATATTGACGAAATGTATGATCAATGGTCCAAAGATCCTCATTCTGTCCATAAGGTAAGAGAAGACTTGTATAAATAAAGTGCAAATGGTAATAAAAGACACATTTGTTTTAGTCATGGGATATTTACTTTAAAAATCAAATGTATCAGAGGCCACCAACATTAGGTGTAACGCCACCGTCTCCAGCTCTGACACAGTATTATCAAAAGACTGGATTTTTAGCATCCGGGCAACAACCGCAACAATCAACACAATTACAACAAGTCGCTGATTCCACTGTACTAGAATTACCGGTCGCTTCAAAAGCCATCGCTGATCATATGGCTGTGCAAGCACTCGTCCGATCATATCAGGTAGAAATATTACGTCATCTTTTATCTTCTCTCTATAAAGATGTTTCTTCTATATTACTGATTGAATCTTTTAAACTGTTATAATTAATTTCACTTTAGGTGGTTGAGAATTTTTGATAATAGTCTGGGTAGTATTGGTAGGTTATAAAAACAAGATACTAATTTATTTTTCTTTCTCGGTAGAAAATTCGTTCTCTCTGAGATGTTGTTAAGAAAAATGCCTCTTCTTATCGTTTGTTACTCTGCGAAATCGAATTGTGCATTGCTATTTCTTTATTTCTTATTTATTTGCAGATGCGCGGTCATAAGTTAGCTCAACTGGACCCACTCGGAATAAATACAGCTGATTTAGATAGTGAAAGACCAAATGATTTGACTCCTAAATTTTATAATTTCAGTAAGTTGAAATTTAACCTATAACTAACAAAAATACAGAGCAAGCATGTTTCTTACTCATAATATGTATTTAAGGCTACTGATAAACAGTACTTTGAAATATACACACACAATTACATATCTCTGTGCGCTGTTGAAGTCTCCAGTTTATCTTTTTTTTGCTTCAGTAATCAGTATTTTTATTGTAGCTTTTTATACGCTTTGAAAGTTGAAGAAACATCTGCAAAAAAAGTCTGCAAGTATACTTATGTTTCTCAGTTATTCGTTCGATTTTATAATTGTATGGTCATTATGATGCGTAATTAGATCCATTGGGTGTCCAAGATGCTGACCTCCAGCACGAACACCCTCATTTCCTTTTATTGTCAACATACAAATTGAGTAAAGTCAACAACTAATTAATTCCTTGAAAGCCGCTTAGCCAACTATTTGCATATTATTATGAAGTGTTAGCATCAATTTTTTGTTCCCATCTAAAGATTACTTTTGTATTAACATCTGGTTAATGTTTCTCCATTATATTATATACTCTATAACCTTATGTCTGCATTACTGATCTTCTTCATGTAACCTTTGCACTATAAGAATGACCTTCCTTGTACTAGTGCGTTTCAATTTATTTCCCTCTTCTTCAGATAAAAAGAGATTTACTGGAGATTTCAAATATAATATAGTAAAGAAACTGATATGCTTTGTTCGTGTAGTTTTATTTTGTAAAATATGAAGTATGATTCTCAAAAGACAATGACAAAAAAGTAATTGAGTGTGCTCCAAATACACTCAAAAGTTCTCTCTTGCGTCTGTGTTCTTTAAAATCATCTATCCGAATCAAATAAAGTCTTTTATTTTTTAATCTAAGATGATACAGATCTTGATCGCAAATTTTCTGTACCTCCAATTACATTTATCGGTGGAAATGAAACAGAATTAACGCTACGAGAATTAATTACTCGTCTTGAGGTAATATGACACTTTTATATGTTTATTAGTACAGTACAGTTTGTACTTATACTTAACTGTTTTTAATGTAGAATGTTTATTGTCGGACAATTGGTCTTGAATATATGTACATAAATAGTTATGAAAAATGTAACTGGATTAGGCATCGTTTTGAAGATCCATCGCTGAAAAAATTGACAGTAAACGAAATTGAACGTAGTGTTAAACGTTTAATTCGTGCTTCAAAGTATGTTGTTTGATTGTTTCTGTGTTACATTAAAATAGGAATGTTGTTAATTTTTACTTTAAAATAGATTCGAAGATTATTTATCGAAAAAATGGAGTTCAGAAAAACGTTTTGGTTTAGAGGGTTGTGAAGTGTTGATACCAGCAATGAAAATAGTTATTGATGTTGCATCTGGCAAAGGTGTTGATACAGTTATTATGGGTATGCCTCATCGGTAAGCAATCTTGTTTCATTCTTACTCTTTTCCAATCAGTTCTTTTCTTTTTAGTGGACGATTAAATGTACTTGCCAATGTGACACGTAAACCATTAGAAGAAATATTTTGTCAATTTGATCCAAAATTAGAACCATCAGATGTTTCTGTATGTATATTTGACGTTTAGAACTGTTAGTTTAGCTTTATTTCTTTTTAAGATTGATAAAGCTTATATTATTGTAAGTTAAAAATTTTTCTGCTCTTCTTTGAGTAAAAAGAGAGTGGAAAAATAAATCACTAAATCCTCAAAACGTGCTGTCTCGATTCCCATATTTTTGTGTTCATATAGACCACCGTCACATTTGTTGACGACTCATTGTTGTATATCTATATACATGTCACAATAATCGTGTTTGACGACGTGCTCTTTGTCTAAGACTATGTCTCTCAATTTTTTCCTAATATGTTTGTAGCCTACACATCTGTGATATATATGTAAAATGTAAAAAAGTCATTTTCTTTCGTCGTATGTTTGTCAATGAAATGTTGATTAACTTATTGTAGGGTACTGGTGATGTCAAATATCATTTGGGTACTTGTATTGAGCGCGTCAATCGTGCTACAAATACTATGGTTAAATTGGCGGTTGTTGCTAATCCATCTCATCTTGAAGGTTTATTTTGTTTCTATACTGTTGTTTATAAGTTAAAAATGTTTTTATTCTTTTAGCTGTTGATCCTGTTGTACAAGGTAAAACACGTGCAGAACAGTTTTATCGTGGTGATAAACAGGGTGATAAAGTAATGAGTTTGATATTACACGGTGATGCAGCGTTTGCCGGTCAAGGCGTTGTTTACGAAACATTTCATTTAAGCGATTTACCAGCATACACAACCCATGGAACTGTTCATATTATTTGTAATAATCAAGTAAGAGATCAACTAATGTTTTGTTATATAGAACGTGTAAATTTGATTTTTCTTTTGCATAGATTGGTTTTACAACTGATCCACGTATGGCTCGTTCAAGTCCCTATTGTACTGATGTTGCGCGTGTTGTTAATGCACCAATATTTCATGTTAATGCTGATGATGTTGACGCAGTTTTACACGTGGCAAAAGTAGCAGCTGAATGGCGTTGTACATTTAAAAAGGATGTTGTCATCGATCTGGTTTGTTATCGACGTCATGGTCATAATGAAATGGACGAACCAATGTTTACACAACCGTTCATGTATAAAAAAATTAAGAAACAAACACATGTATTAGATAAATGGTCACAAAAATTGATTAGTGAAGGTACTATCAAGAAGGAATGGTACGAGGTAAGGTTTAACAATAATATTTATTAGATGAAAATCACAGTTCTTTGGGTTTGTTTATTTCTCAGGCTGAACAAGCTAAATATCAAAAAATTCTTGATGACGCATTTCAAAATTCAAAACTACCATCGTATGCAAAAGATAAAAATTGGCTCGATTCCCCATGGAAAGGTAGAAAAGCGAACAATAATGATTTAGGAGTATTATTTATTTATTTATTTTATTTATTATTTCAGGATTTTTTACTGGCAAAGGACCATTTCCCTATCCTGAAACTGGTATACCAGAAGATACAATAAACACAATTTTGACAAAAGCACATGAATTACCAGACGGTTTTACACTACATAGAGGTATCGACATTAGTGATAAGCGAAAGAGAGCTTGTGATTGATTTTATATTCATTAAGAAAATATCGATACTATCTAGACAGATCAGTTTATTTAGTTATCAACGAATTTTTTCTCTTTATTTAGGTTTAAAACGTGTATTTGATAATCGTGCTAAATTATTGAGTGAACGTACCGTTGATTGGGCATTGGGTGAATCTTTGGGTGTCGGAAGTGTCTTATTAGATGGTCATCATGTACGATTGAGTGGTCAAGATGTTGAACGTGGAACATTTTCACATCGTCATCATGTTTTACACGATCAAGAAAAAGATTTAGTATTTCATGTACCATTAAACTATTTGAGTTCAACACAAGGACATTACACAATATGTAATAGTTCATTATCAGAATTTGCAGCATTAGGATTTGAATTGGGTTATTCAACAACAAATCCAAATTCATTAGTTATTTGGGAAGCACAATTTGGGGATTTTGTTAATAATGCACAATGTATTATTGATCAATTTATATCCAGTGGACAAGCAAAATGGGTCCGACAAAGTGGTATTGCTCTTCTCTTACCACATGGCTATGAAGGACAAGGACCTGAACATTCATCAGCAAGATTAGAACGATTTTTACAAGTAAAGTAGATTTACTTTATAGACAAAAGATAATGATAATGATTTTTTCATTTTTTAGATGGCTGATGAAGATGAAGATTTTGTTCCTCAACTACAAAGTGGAAAACATTTACATCATAATGATCTATCTATGTACCAGTTAGACGAAACAAATTGGATTGTAGCACATTTAACAACACCCGCAAATTATTTTCATATACTTCGAAGACAATTAGCATTACCATTTAGAAAACCATTGGTTATGATGTCACCAAAATCATTGTTACGTTTAGAAGAAGCGCGTTCAAGTTTTGATGAAATGTTACCAGGTATGTAGTCAAATGATCTTAGCAAACTTTATTTTTAGTGAATTATACATTATCTTATTTAGGCACAAAATTTAAACGAATCTATCCCGAAGAAGGTGTGGCAAATGAAAATCCTCAAGAAGTTGAAAAAATTATATTTTGTTCTGGTAAAACGTATTATGATTTAGTTAAAGAACGAGCACAGCATAAATTAGAATCTAAAATAGCTATTGTACGAATTGAACAATTATGTCCATTTCCATTTGATTTAATACGTGATGAATTAGAAAAATATAAAAAAGCAAAAGTTTGTTTTGCACAAGAAGAACATAAAAATATGGGACCATATACATATTGTAAACCACGATTAGCATGTTTATTACGGTCAATGAATGATGACCGTGAAGCAGATATCAAGTAAGAAAAATGACTGATTAAGTAATCTACCATTTGAGATTAAAAAACTATTGTAAATAAGTATCTTTATATAATAATTTCATTTGCCATTTTAGTAATTGGTAAGTTTATTCTATATCATACTACCCAGTGTGCTGTAGTTATTTATCGTAGCAATTTCTTTTGAGCACCTGTGTTTTGTAAAAATTTAATTTAAATTGTAAAAAGAACAACAATCATTCACTAATAGCTTTCTATTCTAAAATTATTATTTTGTTGTTTTGTCAATGTCACAATCGGAGTGTTTGTCAATGAATTTTTTCCTGCATGCAATTTGATATTGTTTATACACATATGTATCTAAACACGATCAGCATTTGATTTGTTCGAATGAAGCATGTGTACGTATGGAAACAATAATTTTTCGAGGAATTATTTGTTTTATCTTATTCAGATGTTTCTCATTTTTCGGTAGATTAAAAATTTTCTTTTTACTGTTTGTTGAGATTAATTTTTAATTAATTTCTATTGTTGAACGTATTCCTCTCCACATAACAATACTTCGCTTCGAGACGTTGTGTGTGCGTGTAAAAATAATTTAATTGAGAAAGAAAGCATGAAGAAAGTAAAGTCTTCGGTTAATATATGCGCTCTCTGTGCTGTAACTTAATACAGAAAGTATAAGTTGAAGTATCGATATCTTCTTTAATTACTTACGTGTCATTTAGCTTCAATATTTTACATATAATCGTTATGAATTATTAATTAATTGTTTTCTGTAACTAACTAATCAACGAATTGAATGATTTTTCTTGAAGTAGTGAAAACAAATTGGAGAGAGACAAAAATATTTAAAAACAAATTTATTCTTTTTCATTTTGCTGCTCATTCTAGAGTTGCTTCTCATGTTTTTACCGCTCTACATGATACGCCAGTATGTTTATTAAAGTAATTCGCGTTGATAAATTTCAGACGCTCTTATCCTCTTCAATAGAAAGATAAATTTTTTTTTTTCACAGTAAATAAAAAGTTTGCATGAACAGAAATAAAATAAACTTTTCTTTAAAGCTTTTTGTCTCCGCTTTAGTTGTAATCTTAACGACGTGGTTTGTAATCAATTTTTGAATAAATCGTGTGTTTTAATAATTTATACTTTGATAATTTCTTTTTTCTTCTGTTCTAGGTATGCTGGTCGTGAATCAGCTGCTGCTACAGCAACCGGTATCAAATCAAGTCATTATACGGAGCAAAAATCATATATGAAAACAGCAATGGCATTATAGATTTTTATTTATTATTAGCACCAATATTCCTGCAGAACTACACCTACATTTTATGTTACGTTGTCAGTCACTAAGTAGAAATCCGTAGATCTTTTCTTTTTTTTTTATCTCATATTATTTAATAGAGATATTCTGCTCATTTCTTGATGTTCTTTTATTCCTAAAGTTTCTCTTTATTTTAATGATAAATCAATATAAATATGAAGGAAAACGTTTTGTATGTAGAGTTGCCGAAAATATGTGGCTAAAGTTGTTTATTCGACGCTGGAAAATGTTTAATTTCCCGTTTATATGATAAAAATGAATTTTTCATTTATCATAAAATGAGTATATATCATCTTGCTTTAATTTAGAGTATGAGCCGACTCTGATAATTTAATAGTAGAAATAGTTTCCATATTTTTTTTCTCTTGCTAACTACGACGAATTACACACTTTTAGTTTTGTTGTTATCTTTTTTACAAATACCGAATGTTATTACCGTGTTGTCAAAGAAAAGAAAGAGTTCAATTCTAACGTAATATAACAATTCGTTAATTATATTATACTACATTTTCTTTCTGAAGGAATACCCGAAAAAGAATAATATCTTTTGGATAAGATAATATATTATTGTATTTCGTAGCTATTTCTCAAAAATTCAACTTTATACAAGATTGTATGTACAATTAAATTAAATCATAAGATATCATATTTACTAGCATTTTTTTGTGAATTGATATTGAGTTATTTCAAAACGACTATTATTTCTCGTCTAGAACTTTTCCAAAGAATTATGTTAAGGGGGGGGCTTACCTCCCCCGACTCCCAATTTTTTTTCGGCCATTTTGTAGAGAATTTAAAACTGCATCTACCCTCCAATTTTTTCTGAGTTCGGCCGGGTTTTGACGGAGATACAGCCTTCACAATCCATGTGGCCCACATAGACCCCCTAGGGGTATTCACTATAGAAAAAATTTTCAAAGTCAGAATTTAAACCTTA